AGAGACATTACATGACTTGACATGTTCTCATATTCATTTATATAAGTGTCTGAAACTTCCTTCAATAGCTTATTTTGAATATTGACTCAATATTGAAAATTTGACTTGGCAACTTAGAGCTGGTGTGTATATCCAACAAACAGCAATTCCTCTTTCTTTCCTTGAGTTTTTAGCTATTGTTTTCTAAAATTTTCTTTAGTTCATATTTAGTGTGTTAATCTACTTACACACATACAAGTTATTGACGGAACACTTTTATTTTCATGTGTATTATGACAGCCATGATAGGATTTCTTTGATTTTTATAATCAACTATCTCCCTGGTTATTATGCATCTGCACCTAACTTTGACCACAATTTTTTGCTTTATTTAATATTTGTAGTAATTAATTTTAGCAAAGCAAAAATTGAGGGGTTAATTAATTTAACCAAGGTTATTTAACCAGTATCTTATCTAGAATTGTCAGAATAATCTATTAACATCATCTAGAAAATGTGTTTTACTTAATCACAAATAAAGTAGGATTTTACTTATTTAAAACAAATAAAATAACATTATAATCAGGTAATCTCTGACAACTTCTAGCTAATTGCTTGACCTAGCTAATCTTGAGTATGTTTCTCCTCTGTCAAATGGTATCCATAATTGAAATACTGTCTCATATTTCTATTAATATTGAATGATAACTGTGTAAAAATGCTTTATTAACTTATAATCTGCCTGACTATAAACCTACACAGCATGGTTATATATTCATTTCTACATTCCCAGCTCTTGGCTCAGGGCCTGGCCCATGGGAAATGCTCAATAATTATTTGTAAAATGGAATTGAAATGATCTCTATAGTACCATACATTTTGGAGATAATAATTATCTTTTTCTACATAGTCTTCGGCCAGGTGACAGCAAAAAGCTACCACAGGACTCCTTTCATCTCTCTACCAATTTCTAAAAAAATAAACATTTGTTTCCTATTTCCCAAATTCAGGAAATTTGAGGAGTTCTGTTTAAGGTGTTGCTGCAATGCGTTAGAAAATAGCATATTCTGATGTTTGGTGTACTGGTCAAAAACTCTGATTTTGACGTTGGCTCAGTCAATGATTTACTAAATAAATTCAAAGGATCTGCTCTGCTCTCTTGTTCTCCATTTCCTCACCTGTTCCCATCCACTCCCAATAACAACAATAATAATGGTAAATTGCCTCAATACCAGAATCTGAGATAACTCTTCCCTGGCATTATCATCCCTTTAAAAAAAAAATTTTTTTTTATTAATTTTAGAGAGGAGGGTAGAACGAGAGAGAAACATCAATGGTGGGAGATAATCAATGATTGGCTACTTCCTACATGCCTGGGACCCTTTCATCCACAAACCAACACTCTATCCACTGAGCCAAGCTGGCCAGGGCTGTCATCCCTTTTAATTCTCCTGACAACTCTATGGATTTGGTGGAATTGTTATGCCCTTTTTATTCAGAAGAAAACTGAAACATAGAAATATGCAAAGATTACTCAACCAGTTAGCTTCCAACCTAAGTCTGTCTGACTCAACTTTTGTAACTAAAAAACTCCAGGGGACTCCCTCAACCTGCTGCTGTCACCATCAACACTCCCCCAGGCATATATTGGAGGCAAAAAGAAAAGTTAACATGAATGTAATCAAAGAATAATAAATAGTAACATAAATGGTAATAATTAGCACCTTTAGATGTATTATCTCCATTAATGAATTATAATAATCTTATAAGGAAACCATTGCTATTATTGCCATTTTAAATTTGAAGGAACTGAGGCTTTTCAGGGTTAATCAATTTAGCAAAGGTTATTTAATCATGAAGTTATATAACTGAAATAACATTTATTTGATGTCTTAAAGCCAATGATAGTAATTAAAGCACCAAGCTATCATTCAAAGTTTTATAAATGGAAAAAAAATAATCTTAATGATAGGATGCTCTTAAATTAGTAAAATATATATATATATTTTTTTTCATGACTATAGTTCCTGTTAAAACTTTTTTTCAAAACTCTCAAGATATGTGAGATGACAGCAGTGAAAGGGAACCAAGCCTTCTGAAAGATGGACACTAGCAAGCAGCAAAATACTGTCTGTGGCCTGGCCTATATCCATATAGTCTACTTAGCAACACACAATAGAATGTTGAGATTTTCCAAGAGTCTTCTCTCAGATTCGTGTGGACAGCCTGGATCAAGAAGGCAACAGGGTCATATGTAAAGGACAATTTGAAGGGTGTCAAAAAGTATTTCCACTTCCACCAGCTCCAGCCTTTTGCAGATATGACATCTTACGTACTTGCCAGGCAAACAACCACTGAGAATCATTTTAAACCTTTTGAATAAACCAATTACTTCAAATCCTGCCTCCATCATTTACTAACACTGTGAGCTTGAACAGGTTGCTCTACACCTTAACTTCCCAATTTGTAAAATGGGAATAATAACGGTCTCCTTTGTAGGGATGGTTTTAGGATTGAATGAATGAATACATATCAATCACATGTGACAATTCATACTATCCAATAAATGCTCGATTTGATTGTTTTATCCGTCAGTTTATCTTTATCCCTCTAGGATATCTTTGCAGAGTAAAGATTCCCTTAAGTGTCAAATGACATGTGCACATGATTATTCACTCAGTATTATCAATAACTGGAAAAATCTAAATTATATAACTTAATTTCATAAATTATGGTATTTTAACATGGAATGCTAACCAGGTATAATAAAGAGTTATGAAACTTTTTAAGGCATATGAAAATATGGCCAACATATGGGTTGAAAAAATAAAAATATGCAGAACTGTGTTATATTATACTACCGTTGATTGAAGGAAAAAGAAGAGGGTAATGTTGCTTAATATTTATACCTAATATATGTACCTAATATTTTTATATATGCATAAAAGTTCTCTGGAAACTAATAAACTAAAAGTTAAAACATGGTCTCTAGATGGAAAATGGGTACTGGGCATGGAAGATAGGAATGGGAGAATGGTTCATTCTGTATTTTTTTGTTTCTTAAATATTTTAAACCAAATCTGTATCTTGATTAACTGTTTTATTACACTTTATTTTAAGAAAATTATCAAGATGTATTAAGAAGCAATTGTACTTTAGACAATAAAAAAGGGAACAAAAAAATAAACGGAATCAAATGACCAAAAAAACAAAGCAGTTGTCAAAAAACATACTTCATCATTTTTTAAAAGTTAGTATGATCACCTAAATTTTGGATGATATGCTCTCTTTCTGTGGTCCACCTCTCTGTGGTTTGATAGCTTGGATTGCTCATACCCCTAGATTTCTTTAAAGGGAAAGATGTGTTTTCCTCACCTGCAGATTGTATAGTTGATTGTTTGAGTGGCAGAAATTGGTCCTTCTAGGCTTCTAGCTACTTAATTAGTTTAGACCTTTCAAATCTTCTGGCAAGATCAGTTAAAATATAAGATGTGCATATTCTCTTGACAGGCCAGCCTGTGCTCCGCTGTCTGCTCACAGGACTCAGAATCCAAAAAACAAAAGACAGTGAAGAAAAACTTTAATGACTGACAACACAACACAATGTCTAATAAGATTCACAAGCTTTATTTCTGCTAGGAAAAGAAGGAAGGAAAAACATTCTTTTTTTTACAAAAATTTTAAACAATTACTTTGCTTTATCTGAATGAGACCACTCTGGCTTCGAGAGTAGACTCTTCACAACCATACTACATTCCCAAATTTTCATTCACTTATAAAGTCCCTCTGAACAATACCAGGGACATCTGGTTCATTGGAACCACACACCCAAAGCACAAACAACTGATTCACCAAAAATAACTGGCTCGTCATAGAGTGAAGAAAAAATCTAAAAATATCAACTTGCATAGCCATTCAAATTATTGCTGCTTTTTATTTATTTATTTTTTAAATCACTGCAGGTAATTCTGCATTAACTTCCTCCATTTTCTCTCATCCCAGACTCAGGAATTCCCAGCAAAGTTATGAGCTACTTTCCAAATGAAGCCTTAGGGAGATTTTGCAAGCACGTATATGGAACCTAAGGGATTTGCATGAAAGGAAGGGAGAAATAAATTAAATAAATAATATCTAATAAATAACTCAGACAACATTCATTATCTACAGATTTAAATGCCATAAAATTTCAGCTTCAAGGATAGATTCCCACTACCTCTTACAAAGACATGTGCCAATACAGACTCAAAACACACAGAATGGCTTTGGATGCATTCAACTGAATTTACCAACCAAGCATGTAAAATCCAGCAGGGTTGATGCTGCAAACAAAATGGAAAGAAAATAACTTAGACTGCAAGAAGATAATAAATAAGAGGGTAAAAAAGGCAAGACACACAGGTAGTTTGGCAGGTTTTAGGGGATGGCTAAGCTGTAGAAAATGACATACTACTAGTTGCCTTACCACTTTTATTCTTTGGCCTAATTGTGTACCATAGACCCTAAACACATCCTCTCTGGCAGGAAAAAAAAAAAAAAAAGAATGTGATCTGCTTTTGGTTTATTTTAAATAATTTTCCTGGCAGATTGACCAGGACAGTAAGATTTCTCAGATCACATTTCTCTGAAAAAAATACATTTGACAAAATAATGCTGATATAAAGGGAAAAGGAGTTATACAAAGAAAAATAAACATCCTGTGAATTGGGATGAACTTGTGATGAAGACATAGATGGGTGAAAGCATTCCCTGACCTTGGATTTAATGTCTGCATCCTTAGGTCTGATTACTCTCAATATTATCAATAATATGTAATAATATATTTTATTTTAGAAGTGATGAAGAGGTAACAATTAGTATAGGAGGAGACACCAAATTATATATATGTTGGGAAAATTCAAGTTTGGTCAATAAATTGATTGGCGCTTGTGCTTCTAGAAAATATGATATTGGTGTGGACAAGGTCAGTGATTTTAAACATATTTTCTTTAACAACAACAAAACTCATCTTGAAAAAAAAAAATCTAGAGGTTTCCCTATGAGCAGCTATAGTTAATATAGCCAATAGCCAATTTATTGCTCTTGAATGTGACTTGTGTTGTTAGCTTATTCCAATAACAGGCCCTGAGCTTCATCAGAATTTCCAGAGCCCTCTGGTATGCATGCCATGAAGTGGTCTAGATAACTTCTCTAAGTCCTATTTGCCATAGGAATCTGAGGTTTCAGTGACTTTATTGCCCTATCTCTAGTAGAAATAAAAGTGCTTTTGGAATGTTATCAATCATCAAGGAAGTTATGTTCAACTTTCATCCCAACAAGAGCATGCTTTGTTATTCACAGTGACAACCAACTTGGACTTTTAGCCTCTGGATGCAAAGAAGTCCAACCATTAATTTCCCAAGAGTCATGCACCTTGTGCTCCTTAGGCAGCTCTGTTTGATCATTGACATATAGTGTCCATTTCCTACCATTCCTTTGTCCTTTTAGTTTCAAGAAGTTTATAAAAGTGGTCACCAATGTTAAAGAATTTCAGAACTGCCAAGGATTTTAGAAATCATCTAGATTTAGAACAATTTCCTGATTTTTACCAGTAAGTAAAAAAGAGTCCAGAAATGGAAAATGAATTGGCATAGATTATTCAATAAGTTATTGGCCCCACCAAAATAGGACCTATGAATTCTGTTCTATTTCCACATGATTGTAAACAATCAAATCATTTCTCTTGAGGACCCTAAATAAAGAAATCAATACATTTTGAGAAGTTGGTAAAAATAGAGAGTGACAGATGTAGGAGGGCCTAAATGGACTGGCACTAATGTATTCTATATATGTCTAACGGGTTCCTTTAAGGTCATTGAATCTTCAGCTCAACCATTTGTATTATGGAAAGCATCTCCACATCACCCTCTGAAATTCTGATCTTACTGCTCTACTCAGTGAAGATTGTATTGAGTTGAGCCCCAATGCCATGGTGGGGGTAGGAGTCATAGGACGTATCTATGGGAATATCATAGCGAAGGGTACCAGCCTGAAAGGGAGTTGCATGCACATGCCCTGAGCTGAGACTTGCAGAGGGGTAATGTGGCATGAAGCTGTAGGGTTTATCCAGATCAGGGGAGCCATCTTGCTTCAAGGAAAAGTTCCCACTGATACTCAGGGGTGGAGTGAGTGGGCCCTCATAAGGTGGTGTACTGCAGTCAGGTGGATGACTCCCAAAGGATGATTCTCCCAAACTCTTGAACACTGGGGGTTTGAGATTAATAAGATGTGTTTCCATATGGCCATAAGGAGGGCTGGGGAGCCCGGGAGACTGGTAATTGAAGTTGTGGACAGAAATGGCAGAGTCACAAACAGGGGATTTCTCTTCATGCTTCTCCAGAACAGACTGAGGACCCAGTTGGAGGCATCCAGCCACCAGATTGCTTGTGGGCTGAGAGAGCCCTCTACAGAGCATCTCCACAAAGCCCTTCCCTTCTGGTGTTTGGCCAGTTTCCAGGACCTCAGACAAAGCCCAAATATAGTTCCTAGCCAGTCTAAGTGTTTCTATCTTGGAAAGCTTTTGGGTCTTAGAGTAACATGGCATAACTCTCCTCAGGTTGTCCAGAGCATCATTCAGGCCATGCATCCGTGTCCGTTCTCTAGCATTGGCCTTGACTCTTCGAGCCTTGAACCTCTCCAGGCGAGCTTTTGTCATCTTCTTTTTCTTGGGACCTCTTCTCTTAGGCTTCTCCCCATCCTCTTCCTCCTCTTCTTCTTCCTCAATACTGTCATGTTCTTCAGCTAAGCTTCCAAGCATCCCGTAAGCAGCTGGTCTTCTCTCCTCCTCCTTCATCTCATTCTGAGAACCCAGATCTTTGTCCATCCAAGATGGTGTGTTGACCAACTCTGTCATCTCCTTGGCTTTTACATACGTTTTTGCCATTTCTAGATCCTGGAAGAGAAAACAGGAAAGTTTAGTGCCTCTGAATATTTGATTTGATTTAGAACTGAACATGTTTTTATACCTTGGATATAAAGAACACTATTTATATTGGGATTCAACTTACTATGATCTAGTCTATGTCCTTGATTCTAAATAACTAATGTAAGACTCAAATAAATGCCTAGGACACTCATTTCTCTGTGGCATAATAAGAAAATAAACTACAGAAAAAGGAAATTGACATGATCATTTATTATAGTGTCAATGTCTAAGTCTTTTTATTCTCAGGATTTTTATCTAATGGATATTATAGGCAAAAATAACTGGTAAACCAATCAAAAAATATTTTTTTATTCCCAGAATTCAGCTCATAAAGGGAAATAGATACAGTACACATATAAATTATTGTCTAAATAGAGAAACTTTTGTAAGTGAAAAGGGATGCTAAAGTAATTATAAGTATTTAATGTGTACATAATAATTATAATTATTGAAAAAATTTAAAAGTATGTCAAACAATAAAGTAAGCAAACTGTCTCATATTTACACCATAAGATGAATGAAAAACTATGGTGATATTATTCAGACTACTTTGTGTGAATATATAATATTCACATATCTTCTATTTAGGGACATAACACATATCTCTAGCCTGTAACATCCCCATATTTCCTCTGACTCTGAAAGCTGTTCTTTCAAGCATTTCCTAGGAGAGAGCCATGCCACAACTGGCTAATATGCCACATAACCATGTAATAGTTCTCTCCCCATCACCAAAAGAGCACTTTTGTTTTTCAGCAAACATGTTATGGTTCATCTAGTATTAGTGGTATTAGAGGTGTTAGTGGCCTGATGTAGAAGGATCAGGGAAATTTTCCAGTATGCTAAAGTGAGAACTCTTCCCATTGCACATGCATCACACATTATCAGAAAAAGATACTGCAGCAACTAGAATTACAAACCAGAGTTCTACCAAATCAATTTAAGATTATTTTTAATGTAACTACTATAATAATGCTTCATTAAAAATTAAAAATCTAGAACAAATGCTAAATTTAACAGAACATAGATACTGAAAACATGATGCATATGTCAGACAAACACAAAAATAGCCTGACTGTGCTTTAATTCACTTAACAGATAACTGCTTAATCAGAATTTCTTATGAAAAATTTACAAATTGAACACATTTGTAAACCAGAAAAGACGGTGGTTTAGTAAACATTTTATATGCAGTTCTGGAAAAACCTGAATTATTTTGAGATTTGTTGAGCAATTTCTGGGTTATAATTTACCAAATAAAAGTCTCTGATAAGCTCCATTGGGTCACCCCAGTTTACCAGCCAGTCTTTGAAATATTAAACTCTGAATCACCTCCATATATCAGAAATAAGAGAGCATAATAAATGTTTTTTATCTTTGAAGCTTGAGCCTCAAATCAATGAATGCAGGGATTAGTACATAGCTTTTAAAAATATAAATATATGATTTGATTTGTTTCTGGTAATCCGAGCTTGTTTTCCTTGTAACCTCATTTACCTCCAATAAATAATTAATGTCACTGCATAGCAAAAACAGCCTAGGTTTCATGTTAATCAGCACGGAAATCATGTCAGCTTGACTTACTCACTTAATAAGGCTTTCTGAGTAAGCAGCTTTATTGAAAACACACGTTGGGACCTATTGGTCAACTGGCTGCACAGGCCAAGTAAGAAAATCCCACTTTTAATATGGATAATAGAGCTTGTGTGCTGAGCTGCACTTCTAACTCGGGCAGCTACCCAGAGAGAGGATGAAGGATCTAATTAACTTTCTGTTAAAGTAACGCAGACCTTTCAACGGCAGGTGCACTCTGAGGTCAGTGAGGATGGAGTGGGCTTGGGAAACCTAATGTTCCACATGTAATTATAATTACATTTGCATAGCCTTTTAGCAAACCTTTGAGGGAAATAAGGATTACTATGCTCATTTTATAGTCAACGTCACTGTAGTCAGGTAGATTCAGTGATGGCAATGCAAAGACATAGAGCTGGTAGAATCAGACATAAAGCCAGTTCTGATTCCAAAACCTAGGTTTTATGTCTTTGTTTCTTCCTTTTTCCACCACAACTACAGGAAGGAAGGAAGTTACTTTGACTTCAGATGTGGATCAGTAGAGCTAAATCTCCAGGAAGTAGCCATCAACCAACCGGAGGCTAACTTAGGTGTTCTCTACAGTGATTTTCAGCTCCCATATTCCAGGATTTCTTCCTCTTCCAAAATTTTTCTTGCTGCTTTCATTCATTTATCCCCCCTTCTTCTCTTACTCTTAGCTTCCTTTTCCTCTTCCTTCTCTTTCTCTCGTGTCTTCTTCATCATTGCCATTACCACTGAGACATACTTTCACACCCGGAAAAGTGAGAAGGAAGGAAGAGAAGAAAGAAGCAAGAGAGGAGTCTACTGAATTGCCCCTGAAAACCAAATCCCACCCTAGCCTCTGGATTTGACCTTTGTTTACATCCTCACTTCCCTGCCTCTATACTCTAGTCAAATTCTGTCAATCCTCACTCCCATCAAGTAGCGGAGCCAGGAGAAGAGAGGAGACTACATTTTGCCTTTAAGCAGAAGTTGATGGTTTCTGTAAGAGTCAAAGAGCTGCTCTCAGGGCAGATTGACAGCAGAAAAGAACCAACTGACTTTGGCTAAACAATTAGAAGGGCAACCAAGCTTCATCTTTGTTCTCTTACTAACCATGGGAAAGATATAGATGACCCCAGTTCAACTTTATCTTTTCCCATAGGTACTGGTCCATTAGCTCTAAGAGAACCCCATGTGTACATAGTGTGGTTTCAAAAGCATGGAAGCTGGAAAAGCACATACTCTAGTCCCAGCTCTTCTAATTTCTGGTTATTGATCTCAAAACATGTTGTATAAGCTCTGATGTTCTATTTCCTCTTTCGTAAAATGAGGATAAGATATATTTTGCATTATTCTTAATATCAAATAAAAATATGAAAACGAATTTTGTAAACGTTAAGTGCTATACATTAACATTATATTTATCTTGTGCTTATTTTTGGGCTTTCTTATTTAATCCATTCACATATATTTGCTTATTTAAAAGTAAAAATGGTTTCTCAGAGGTGAATAGGAAAAGCAGAGTGTACTAACTACTGTGCTTCTTCTGATTGGCTCAAAAGATTATCTGACAACAGCCCAATACCCCGCCCTTTTGCCCAATGTAACTGGACAGCACAGCTTCTAAAGTCAGATGACCTGAATTCAAATTTCAGCTTAATTACTTACTAGATGTATGACTCATGACCTCTTTATGCTTCATTCTCCTCTTTAAAATGAGAATAATAGCCCTAACTGGTTTGGCTCAGTGGATAGAGCATCAGCCTGCGGGTCCTGGGTTCGATTCACATCAAGAGCATATACCTTGGTTGCAGCACATCCCCAGTAGGGGGTGTGCAGGAGGCAGCTGATGGATGTTTCTCTCCCATTGATGTTTCTGACTCTCTCTCCCTTCCTCTCTGTAAAAAATCAATAAAATAGTTTTTAATGAGAATAATAATAGTTCTACCTTATTGGGTTATTGTGAGCATAAAATGAGCTATTATATATAAAGATTTTGAATAGTGCCAGACATCATAAATGCCATGTGTTAGCTATCATTTTTCCTAAAGTTAGCCATGAGTTTTTCTATCCACATAGACAGAAATTGGTATAATTATGATTTGTGTTTAATTTGATTACATGGCAACAAAATTCCACTTCACTTCAACTCCCATTTCATAAAAAAAGTCCCTGATATTCAAACTCCTAGAGAAACTAAGTGTCAGAGTTCCTATTTTGCTTCGAGGGGTTGTGTCAGCTGCCTTTGCTGGATTGGCTATAACTCTTCCACCACATTCAAGAAGGAAGGAAGCTTTTTTTCATTCTGGTTTATAATTGGGAGACAGCAGTTGGCCAGACATTCCTACTCAATCACATGAATTTTCAAGTTCATGAAGTTTCTGGTGGAATACGAACAACCATTGGCATTGGTACATTTTTCATTTTGTCTTTGATTAAACAATAATGAGGATATGACTTTCCTACCAGAATCAATGGCAGGACTCTGAGGAGAAAAGAGAAGTGTCTCTCTAATAAAAATGAAAGCCAACACTCCTCAAAGATTAAAGTCTTTTTCTTTTGACCTTTTCCACCTTAATATCTTTAATACATCAAAAGGTAATCAGGGATGTGGGGGATAAATATCTAGTTTTTAGGTTGAAGAGTTGAAAATGTGTGTGATACAGTTCTGAGTTTTGATCAAGAAAACCAACTTGGTTTTCTCCAGACCTGGTACCTAATTTTACTATGATGGTTAGTTTGTTAATGAACCACGTCAGGGGTGTATTAAAAGAAGCATGAGCACTGACCGGGTGGCTCAGTTGGCCCATACACCAAAAAGTTGTAAATGTTGCAAGTTTGATTCATGGACATTGCCCATACCTGGGTTTCCCATTCAATCCCTGGTCAGGCGCTCTCTCTCTCTCTCTCTCTCTCTCTCTCTCTCTCTCTCTCTCCCCCCCTTCCTCCCTCCCTTCCTCCCTCCCTCTCCAAATCAATAAAAACATATCCTCAGGTGAGGATTTAAGAAAGAATAATGAAATAGAATAATATTTTTATCTGTCATATCTCACTTAAAAACTCTGATGAAAAGTAAGAAGACAATGCAAGCACAAGTACTTTGTAAAGTTATTGTGCAAATGTAAGGGTTGGCAATTGTTATACAGAAGCTATATGGGAAAACCTATAGCACTATTTCAATAGTATTATGATACACCACTTTACATTTTTATAATTCCTAGAAAATAAATTAGCTTTCAAAATATACATGAAGGATATTCTAGTATGACAAAAAATCAATGAATACTAGCTCTGGAGGCAGAATACAGACCCGCCACCCCCCCCCCTGCACCCCCAAACACATTCTGACCCTATAAAGTCCATTTTAGATTTTGATCTTGAAATTTAGATTTCCTTATGTATTTACACAATATAACAAAAAATCCACTTTCTTTAGGATTCTTTCATAACATTTTAGTTTTAGCCATATTTCTCATACTCGAAATTTTCTCCTTTTTTTTCATTTTTTTAACCAGTTCTAGCAAAATATTTGCTTAGCCAATGATTGTAACTCCCCAATTCTGTCATTATTGGGGTGGAAGTCATTCATACATTATACTATGTGGAGCTGTCCTTGAGTTTGCCCTACACTTTTACTAGTGTTTATTTGCTGTGAGGAAGTTTCGATGGATGAATAGTGGGTAAAAGTGCTTGCATGTGTGTCTATGGTGATTAGACAATGTCTTTCTCTTAAAGGCTGATAGTGCTCTCTTCACCTCCTGACCCAATGACTAGATTCTAAATACAACAGGAATGGGAATAGTCAGCCCGATTTCTGAGGAATCTAAGGACCAGACAAAGTGCCCTGCTAAGAGTTTGCTCTGAAAAGGCAGAACGAAGACCAGGGTGCTCACAAGTCGCAGTGCCAGAAATCAGCTAGTGGGCTATCCTGTGCTCTTCCTGTACAATCTTTTATACCCTTGATAAATACCCAGATACACACACACACACACACACACACACACACACACACACACACACTTTTTATCCAGCATACCCACATCATACTTCAGTTTTCATAGCCTTAGATCCTAATGGTGAACTTTGCAAACAGAAGCTAGTCAATCCTTCAGTTTTCCCTTCATGTTCTTCAGAATTTCATTTCTAAAACCTCTGTCAAAAAATGAGGGAGGCAATTTGCATTAGAACTTTCCTGAATACATATATTTGGAGTGAGCAAATGATATGTGAGAGGGGATAGAGGCTTGGAGAAGGCAGAAATAGATGTGGACAATCTTTCCTTTCTGATTCCCCATCTGAAAGAGTGGAGGGGAAGGAAGTTTCCCTGACTTTCTTCCAATTAAGGATTTTTAGCAGACCAAATGGAGGCCATGGTGAGAACATCCTCCTGGCTTTCCGGCATCTTTTCTCATTCCATATGCTGTTTTCTTCCCCCTTCTCCTCCCTCCCCTTCCACTCCTTTCGAAAATGCTGTGAGCAGGGAGGCAGATTGGGGCAGTTCCCTCAACCCACTTGCTGAGCCACCTGGGAAAAGCAATTAAACTATTTTGGACATCTTTTTCTACATTTATAAGAGGGACGGGGGATGACGAGTGGGGTGGGTGATTTGCAATCTGTGCTATAAAAAAAAATATTGAGAGTATCTGAGTTTCACTTTGGGTGACAGGTACTATGGGAAGTGGTGAAATTGCTAAAAGTTCAATATCTGTTCCTAAGTGCTCTGACTCTCTTTGTTTCTCTCTTCAAATTTCCTAAATTCCACTCTCTCCTCAGTCCAGAAGAGACTTGCCTTAGCTCAACTGCTCTTCTAGGCCTGCAAAACATCCCACAGAAACTTCAGTCGTCCCCTCCCACCCCAGCTGCTGGCTCACCTTTGGCAGTCGTAGTGCCTGGCGTGAAGTGAACTCTGTGAATCTGCGCCCTGGAGGAGACTCAGAGAAGCCAAGTTTCCCGGACCATCCAGGTCACAGGAGAAGGAGGTGCTTTTATCGATCCATGTTAAACCAGGACACTGCCTCTCAGGAGTGCCACCAGGTCTGGTCTCTCTGGCTGCTAATTGTTTTACTCCTTCCTTGGAGTTCTTGGGGCGATGCTCCCGCTGCAACAGGGTTAGTCGGTCTTCAGTACCTCCTCTCCCTGGTCAGTTCCCGGGCTGGAGCTTTCAGGACCACAGTCCTGGGCAGCTCCTGCGCTCTGGCCGCAGGCTCCCAGTGACAACAGTTTTGATTGCCATCCCAGCTGACCAGGGAGGGGGATTGTGCCCGCTGTCTAACTCCTCCCCTTCCCCAGCAGAAAGACACACCTACTGTCCAGGGCTCCTCTGGCTAGGTCCCGCGGAGCCGTTTGTATGTGCATTTGTTTAAATGGGGATAGAGGTTGGTAGAAGAGAAATATGGGAGGAGAGGGGCTGCAGTTGAGGTTTAAAACGAAAAAGAGGATTGGAAATCTTTGTGCTTAAAAAGGTACAAAATGCAAAAGGCACAATGTGGGCAGAATGGGGAAAGGGAATTGGAGAGAGACTTGGAGAGAGAGAGAGAAAAAAAAAGTGAATAAAAACTCTGGCCCACGTCTGAAGAGTGCAAAAGTGAGAAAGATGCATGCCCAGAACACAGCATCATGGGCTAACCCATTTGGATCCATGTCTTTGGATATAAAACTTCAGAACTCTAAAAGTAGAAGAAAGAAGTAACTCCCTCTCCCTCCGTTTCAACATGCCAAACTCCTCCCATTTAAAGCCCTTTTATTTTATTCAATGAATATAGGCAAAGCCATATCTATATTCATTGTACCAGTCTTTCAACTTTTCTGTTTGCTTAATGTTTATAAAAACAAAAGGTGACCGAGGGAAATCTTTCGTTTTAATAATGATTAGCTGTTTGAATAACAAACTGGCATCCACTATTGCTTTTCAAAAATTTATCATTAAGCATTCAGGTAGAAAGAGCCCTCCTAAGTGATAATGAAGCTGAAATAAAAGAGGAGTCACATCATCCCTAAAATTCCTGCCATATTATGAAGTAAGATTGTGTTGCTAGAAGAGAAAAAGAAAGTTGCATCTGGAAAGGTTTAAAGAAAGTACACGGGTATGCGTATGACAGAGAGCTTGTTTTAGAGATTGTCAAACCAGACTACAAGCATATGTAAAACTAGACCAAGATCAAACAAATGGTTGTGAGTTCGTTTTTAGAAAAAAAGGACTTTGTTCTCTTTGAGAGATTCCCAAGAAGAAAGGAAAGTGTACTTGGATTGTGCAATTGGCTGAATGACTTTTAGTAATTTGTTCCCAGCATCAGATTTCATATCTGTAAAATTACCTGATCACTTAGGTTTTTTCCCAGCAGTTGTAAGATCAAATTCTGAGTCAAACTCAAACTCATTTTAAATTGACTTGAAAGGAATTCCCCAGGCTTTTCTGGAAGTCACTTGTTCGACCAGTGTCACTGGCCTAATAGAGAGGAGAAGTTGCAAACATGCCTTTTAAACAAAAGTAAAACAAAAGGTAGTTTTACTGCCGGTAAAGCTAAAAGAAATACCTTAGGTTTGAAATACTTAATTTTTTTTTAATTCTGACATAGGTGTCATATGACTCTTCCTTCACAGAAGACATGAAAGTAAAAATTATCACTTTTTTTCAGTTTTCACAGGAAGATATTCATCTTCAGCAAATCTTTAAGTTCTTACAAAAAAAAATTTCCTATCCAGGAAATATATGCTCATCAAAATAAACGTTATGTTCAGAGTAATTAAGAAACACAAGGTAGGAATGGTGGATTTCCGAAAACCAGCCAGAGGAAATTTACTTGTGGGGTCATCGATATTTGGGATAGAGCTGCACTGAGCACAGAGAGAGTGGATTGATCCCCTGCTCTGTGTCTTCTAAGCCACCTCCATGGACATTTGGCAATGAATGACGCTGTTGTGGCTGGTCCTCTGCCTGTGAACTGTTCGAAGGGCCGGAAGGAGTAGCGGATTAGCAGAGCGCTGAACGTATTGGGACAAAGATAAGGGTAAGGACAGAACATTCTGTGGGGTCCCTTGCCTCCTCTGACAGATGTAAGGGACTGGACACAATAGGATTAGCTCTCAAAACGTGTCCAACTGTGTGCGTGTGTGTGTGCCTGCGCGTGCAGCCTTGGGGGCGAGCCGAGGAGGGCACTGAATTTTCCTGACAAGCTGCCTTTAGGAGAGGGAGGGATGGAGCCTCTTTCACCAGAGTCTCCGTCACTGACAGCTCCTAGTTGGCTATTCAACTGGAAGAGCAGGAAGAGGAGGAGGCAAGGGGTGCAGTCAGCAGAGAAAGGGGGCGGGGACTGGATGCAGGGTATTTGCATTCATCCTCCTTCCCCCACATGCTTCCTGGGCCAGAGGGCCAATCTCCATCCAGCCCTTCCTTCTTTCTGTGCGGCTTTTTGTAAAGCTCTGAGCTAACCTGTTAGAACCATCTGCTGGGTGAGGGAAATGGAACCAGCGCTCAGTTGCCGGCCCTTAGCCCGGGAGCCATTGAAGCAGCGAGAAGGGAGGCAACAGGCAGATTTATGGGCAGCAATCTGTTCCCCACCCCCCAGGCCCTCTGCCTGGAGACAGCTTGATAATCCATCAACCCCACTAATGAATTAATTAGTATTCCCAGTAATCCCGACCCCCAAAGGAAACACGCCTGTGGGCCCCGAAGGGGGCTGGAAACTGCCTTCTTGGAGCAGACACTGAAGACCTGGGACCGATGCCTGACATTAGGCCCCAGGGTGCTAAGCTGCAAACCACAGACCCTGTTGTTAAGGATCCCCAGATGTCCCTCCTCGCCTTCCCTCGGGAGACAGCTAGCTTTTGCTGAATTAAAACCAATACCACCAACAAATGGAGTCCAGAGCCATAAATCAGGGACTGTGGAAAGGAGGGCTGTGAACTTCCAAAAAGTGAGGACTTGAATTGCCCATATTCAGGGTAAATGTGAGCAGATCCTAAAGCTGCTCTCCAAAGGTTAGCAAGAGGTTGGGGTGGAATCTCTGTGCTCCAGGAGGGAAAGGATGCAGGGTCAAAATGATTGTGAAACAAGTTGAGACTAAGTGATTTGCGACATGAATCTGTTCTGAGTAAGCATTGGAGTAAAACAGAGTTTTCAGCTGAGGGTCTGAACAGTCTGGGAAATTTAATCACCCTCCCTTACAACTAGTCTCCATTCGTTTACAAAACTTCGAGAGGAGTGATCTAAGCTGTCTCACATCAGCAGTCGCTGATCAGGTTAGATTATGATCTCTCTGGTTCTTTCTGGCTCAGTTATAATGTTAATAGTTAAATGTTACAATCCCCCTTTGACACTAACTCTAGCCATGCAAAAGTAAGCAGTCTGAGTCCCTAGGTGTGAATAAGGAAATGCACCAGGTTAGTGACAAAAGTGGGTCTAGAAATCAGGTAGTAGGCTTGAGTGTCTTCTTTCCACTTAGATTTCTGGTCTTGGGGAAGACCTTGACTTAACCTTCTCCTGCTTCACTTATTCAGAGCATGGGCATTTGTGTATTCAGAGGGCATGCAGAGTGACTCATTCCAGCTACTAAAAAACTACCTGCTTTTGTGAAAAATCTTTGGGAAACTTCTGCACCTTAGAAAGCTCTGTGCCCTCTGCCTCCTACATCATTCTCTGGACTCAGGAACCCCAATTTCTAAGAGCAAAGTCCTCTAAGATTTAAATAAATCTTAACATTGTTATTTATTACTAACCACGCAGCTTCAGACCAGTTATTTTTCTCTCTGAGCTTCAGTTACTTCATCTGCAAATTGAAGGCAATAAACTTGTTCTGAGGAAGATATTAAACTTGCTCTGAGTAGTATATATATCTCATTAAATATGCGATAAGGTATGTAAAATACCTTGTATAGATGCTGGCTTTCCGCAAATGCTCAATAAATGGTGGTTATTATTGGTGTTTTGTCTTAAACATTTATATCTTTTATCCTTTAGAAATCAAGAAAAAATAATGATATCAGGATTTTCTTATAGCGGTTCTATCTGTGTTTCTCAATACAAGTATTTCTTTTTTATAGTAATGATTACACTATATTCATTTATCTAGCCCATGTGTGTTAGGCATATGTGCAGCCCTAGGCATTGCAAGATTCTGGGAATACCAAACTCATTGAGATTTCTCATTCCTAATCAACGTTCACTATAGTGGCAATGGCAGAAAAACAAACCATATAAATGTATAATTCAAAAACTCCACTTCTCTGTGTCTTTCTAACATAGCTACAAGTGCTCAAGTAGCCATGTATGAAGCAGAGATGTTCATTGCAGTATAGTTTTTAATAGTGAAATAGTACATTATATTATATATTAAGTAACCGGTGGCTTAGCTAAACAACAAGATACTATTTAATTTTCAGTGAGTTGGTCTATATGTATTAATAAGAAATATACTTTAGCCCTGGCCTGGTGGCTCAGCTGGTTAGAGTGTCATCCCATACACCAAAAGGTTTCAGGTTCAATTCCCGGTCAGGGCACATACCTAGGTTTCAGATTGATCCCTAGTCAGAGCCTGTGAAGTAAACAACTGATCAATGTTTCTCACATCAAAGTTTCTCTCTCTCTCTCTCTCTCTCTCTCTCTCTCTCTCTCTCTCTCTCTCCTCTTTCTCTCTCTTTATCAAATCAATAAAAACTTATCCTTTGGTGAGGATGAAATAATAATAATAAATAAAAATAAAAGATGTACTCAATGTATTAATATATTATGGGGAGAAATGTAAAACATTTTTTATAAATATATGTTCAATATGATACATTTAATTGTTAAAATGCAGGTATTAAATAATAATTATATTATTCACAAACACAAACTAATTACAATGAGTGTTTTTCTCAGGTTATCTCACTACTGAGATTAAGTAGATTGAGATCTGGATAGTTACCAAAGGAGATAACTTTTGTTGTTTGCTTTCCATAGAAGAAAAATTATTTTCTTTTATATATAAATAATGTGTTTATATTTAACTTAGAAAAATAAAATTGATATTCAGATATGCTCTTTTAAAAATCCCATTCCCCACTCATAGCCAAATATTATCAGGAAGGATCTGATAGCCCCACAACTCCAAACACTTGGGTTGACAGTATAACTATTTCATGAAAAGATCACTGCACCAGCTCCTACTAGCTCTGCCCTCACACTCTCAGTCCCAGAAGCATTTACTGGGTCTTAGG